TATATAGGCCAACCAGTTGCTGGTTAATTCTAAAAACCAGACCTGGGTTGTTGTGACTACCTATTCTGATAGATTAGTTTTCCCAGTTACACAGAGAGAGAGAGAGAGAGAGAGAGAGAGAGCGAGAGAGAGAGAGAGAGAGAGAGAGAGGGTTTAACGTCCACTCGACACAAACTAGGTCATTTCGGGGCTAACACATGATTCAATTTTATTTCAATAATTCGCTTGCGTGTAGGGGTCTTTAGTATTCGGAGGAAACTGGAGGACCCGTAGAAAACCCACGAGGTTGGAAAGGCGACCCTACTCCTTGTCACGTACAATAGGGGAATCGAAACCACGCCAATTGACTCAATGACAGACCTTATGATACAGCGCGCACGTGCTAACCATTCGGCCACCCAACCCCCCTTTTCCATGTAGTCCTATCGGTTTACTGATTAGTTTCGGAGCGGTTTCTGGACGAACGAAGTCCTCTGACTGTTCGTTTCCGTCCTGCAGTATGAAAATACCGCTCTACCCCCCTCTGTTCTAAGGCTACATTCTATTTTTCACCGTAATTGGTCTTTGTTCGCCAAAAGGAGTCATTTCTCGCCACATCGGATATAAATTTATAATAACCCAACACTATTTTCAAATCGAATTTTGCGATTTAAAAACATAAACAAGATATGTTTGAGTTGATCATTCGCGAGTCTCGTAATAGCGGACTTAAACTGGGATTGACCGAGGAAGTTCCCCCTGTCGGTGGTACACAGGGCTTGGCACGGAACAGCTTCTGTTCATTCGGATTGGTTCAATGTACACTTTCTTGTGCATTTAAAATAGCCGCTGACAGTCGGAATTTGTTGTGTACAGTCTAACCTTATTATGTGCCTGCATTATTTAAAAAACCGTTGTTATCAAACTATCTGTTAATTTTAATTCTCTAATGTTTAGGAAAAAACTAATTCATTTTATAAATGTTATATCAGATAGTATAAACATTCTTTTAATACTTCAATCATCTTTTAATCTAAACAATTAAGACAGTAATTGGTATCCCATCTCATGTTTTCATCGGTTGTGTTAATTAACAATTTCATAATGTAAACTAATTGATATGAACAATAGGTTTTGGTATTTTCGTTTTTACATGTGGCTGTTACCTTTAGCGTGATAAAGTTTTGTGTAAATCTAAATTGAAATATTTCATCGGTTGTGTTAATTAACAATTTCATAATGTAAACTAATTGATATGAACAATAGGTTTTGGTATTTTCGTTTTTACATGTGGCTGTTACCTTTAGCGTGATAAAGTTTTGTGTAAATCTAAATTGAAATAAAAATAAATTAAAACGAAGCGAAACGAAACGAATCCAAATTTTAGTAATTTGATTGGATAATATTAGATTGATTTTAGTGCTTAGCCAATGAAAATTGAAGTATCTACTAAAATTGGATTTTATCTTTAGTTAAAATTTTGAGAAACAGGGCCCTGAATTACATTGACGGTAATACTGTACAAGTGGATTTCCTGTATATTTATTAGTTAAAGAATGCTCGTGGTTGAATAAATGAAAACAGGAATCTTGTGGCTATAATTGTATAGTTATATTTCGAGGCTTAAACATCCATACTATCGACAGGTGCTAATGATACACCTACACTTTTACGGCCTACTGACCCCAATCTGTTATCAGGATGGAATGAAAGATATGAACTTGAATGTGTCAACCCAATATTTTGGAGCCGTGGTGACTCAGGGAGTAAGACGTTGGCTAGCTAACCTGGAGGCCTCGTGTTCGATGCCACTTGTTGGCCGAGAAAGTTCATCGGAATTTTTCGGCGTGGCCCCACCCCCTTGTCAGGGATGCAGAACAGAGGACTTGGCAAGGGACAACGTAATGTCGTTCTGATGGGACGTAAAAAGAGGTCATGTGCCCACATTGGCGTGCACGTAAAAGATCCTTTAGCAGTTGGAATTCGGTATTTTTAGTAGGCCGTAGCCGCTGTCCGGGCAAATTGCCTTCTTGAACACTGTACGACGTATGCCTGTCTTCATTAGCCCAGTCGGAGCAGAACAGTAGGATGTTAAACCCCATTTCATATACTTTTGTCGGGAATTTTGAGACCGACACCCTGTTATTCTGTATTTGATTAGGATTAAGAATAGTACTGAAAATTTAAAAACCATCTTTCTTTGGGCCTTAAATATTATATGAATTATTAATTAGACACAAGGTACAATTTTTATGGATACACAATTACTGAGTTTAATACTAAGCGACATTTCGACGAGGATTCTCTCGTCTTCATCATTTGCTTGATAAAGAAACGTCGCTTAGTATTAAACTCAGTAATTGTGTATCCATAAAATTGTACCTTGTGTTCATATATTCAATTACTAAATGCCATTCAAAGAAGATATTAATTAGACATTTATTAACATACCAAGACCATAATCAACTCTCGATGTCATCTGATGGCTCCGATATATAGTAGATTTTGAATACGTTCGGCGGTTGATAAAATAACATTAAAAATGGATAATCGAGACTTTGTTTATTATCGTAACAACGGTAGCAATGACATTCGAGGCTCCACTGTTTTTATGTGGATAAATTCCGTAGTGTAACACTTTTTTCCTGTTAATCGATGGCTTTTTTCAGAGAAATTGTGTTAAAAAAAGTGTGAACTATTTCTTCAAATTTCGTGTTTTACGTATTTCTATGGAATATTCAGTATTAAACAGGAAATTTCCGTGAAATTTAGGGATAAAATGTTTTATTCCCTTCTATAATGGACTTAATTCTGTTATTTTACGGAATAAACGGTGGAATGACTAGGAATTTCCGTGAAATTTAGGGATAAATGTTTTATTCTATTCTATAATGGACTGAATTCTGTGATTTTATGGGATAAACGGTGGAATGACCAGGAATTTACGGATTATTTCTGTTTGCAAATGCAACGATAAGTAATCGTATACATATATAATCATTCCTAACAATTATTATGTTATAGTATTCATTTCAGTTTATAAACCATAATATGAGGAATCATATTTTGTAAATTTTGGTATATTACATGTCATGTATATCTAATTTCCATTATTTATAAGATCTATAAAGTGTATTGTTATTCATCATACGTTAATCATATTGTAAGTATTTTCATAAATGTATAAAATTATGTTTTAACGCTAAGCGTGTATAGGTTGTATCTGGTAATCAAGCACCTGTTAACTCATGAAAGCCGCGCTATAAATATAACAAAGTCAATGGTTAATTAATAAAACTTTTATCACTTTCATGCTCAGGAAATAAAAATTACCAGGATTTTTTTCTGTATTTGAAAATGGAATTCATGTTAATGGAAGGAATTTCTGTAAATTACAGGAAAAACAAATACGGATAATTCTTGTTTCCGGAATTTTTTACGTTTTTTCACGGATTTTTTTTGTTACAGTGTACAGTGTTCTTGTATCGCCGATATCTAGGCTCAAAGTGAAGTAATTTGACTGAAATTTTCATTATCTATTTTTTAACTATTTTATCGAGAACTGTCAGCTCTTGATCTATTCTTACATAATGCCCCTTTAATTAGTAAATCAATAATTTTCTTCCATGACATCTAGAAGTAGAGCTACGGATTCGATAACGAGTTGGCAGTTCTCACTATAATAGTTAAAAACTAGATAATGTAAAGGCAATTTGCTGAAAATTTCATTCAAATTGATCCACTATGAACCGAGAACTAAGTAATTGAAATTTCCGCCTAGCCTCGATCATCATTACTAAAGTCAGGACGATAAACAGCATAGTCTCGATTATCCATTTAATCGTTAAATCGTGAAGGAAAATTATGCAGTAAATCGGCTCATAATCCACCAAAGATCGCAGGCTAGCGATGCCATCTAGAGTTGATTATGGTCTAGATAGGTTAATTAATTTCTAATTAATAATTTAGATAACATTTCAGGCCTAAAGAAAGACCTGCGATAAACAGATTTAGCTCTTGCATAATGTATGTTTAATTAAGTCTTTAACAACAACGATTTCCTTTGAATATGACATTTAATTCACAAAGACAGACCTGCAATAGGGAGATTTATCTCTTACATGATGCCCGTTTAATATAATGATTAAAGGCTAAATAATGACGAAAATATATCCCCACTTGCATAGACCCGTTGCTACTTTATTTTCAGCGATCTACGACACATTGACAATCATTCGCCCGACTAATAATCGCTGGTGCGTGATGGCCTCATCAGATACAAGGGATTGAAGGCTGAGTTTATATACAAATATTCGTATTCAATGTCTTCTACTTCAACACACGTGTTACACTTATGTTTATTATTATAGGGTTGGAAAAAACATGGCCATTTCTATATAATGTGTGTTGAATAAACAAAGTATTAAAATATTGAATAGATAACTTATAGTGAAAAAACTACTACTTCAATTTGTACAACAGTCTCTTCTTGACATTCATTTCCTTATTATGACAACCAGTTTTATTTACACTGCAAACTACCCCCCCCCCCCCCCTAAAAAAAAAAAACCCCAGATATCGATGGTCCAATTCTTTTTATGACAACCAGTTTTATTTACACTGCAAACAAAATAATAATAATAAAAAAAAAAAAATTAAAAAAAAAATCAAAAAAAAAAAATCCAAATCCGTAGATATCGGTGGTCCAATTCTTTTTATGTTAGAATTTTTTTTTTAAAAAAAAAGAAGCATTATGTAAGATTTAGTTAAAGAACTGGTTGTTCTTGTTAGAATATATAGTTCGAAAATAGATAATGCAAGAATTTCCAGCTCTTTATCAAATTCTTACATAATGCATATTTAACCAATTTAAAATTGCTTTTTTATTGGCTCATAGAAAAATAGACAATCCTTTGTTTTTAAAGCTGTTAATTTTATCTATTTCTATCTATTTCTTCTTCCTGCGTAATTTGTCGTTAATAATTTATACTTAATACAAGTTTTATTCCTTGTCTTTTCAGAAGAAGCCAGGATGAAACCACACGACGCAAATAGTACCCTTGTTTCTTTGTTAATGGGTGTGCAGTTTATACAGACAGCGTTGGGACGATTTCCACCATTTTTTCAGACGGCTCCAAGAATAGTGCCAGTACAGTCTCCACTTCCAGACAGACTATTTGAACTTCCAACGTCACCGCGATACACGAAATTTCTTCCGAAGAAGAAAAACCTTAAAACAAGGAAATTGATAAAACGTCTTGGACATGCCTTTAATCCCGAATGGATGTCCATAGACCAACCTGTACATATTCACGAAGTAGTTTCCGATGAAGTTGATATTAAATTAGTATCCGAAGCACGCCATGTTAATTTCTCCATGTCCGGATCGGACGGGAAGCGCCAGAATATCAGTGGATCTATGCTCGCGGCTTTTCAAGAATGGTTAGTACAGCGTGGTTCCTGTCCAGTTCACTTTGTTTGGGAGGATCTTGGTATTAACTTTTGGCCGCGATGGGTAAAACGGGGCTTCTGTGTGGATGAACAGTCCTGCTCATGGCCGCCAGGAATGCATTGTTTGCCCGCGGAAAATAGGCGAATACGTCTGCTAAGATGGCAATGTCAACCACGCGGTGCGAAATTTAAAGGAGGACGTTACGTGGGTAAAAAGGGGGATGATGACGTCGATTCTAACGCCACCGAGAACTGGCCCAAAATAACCCACAAACAGAGACGAAAAAGATATGGCATGAAGTGTAAATGGATAAAAATTCCCTACCCTATAACTGACGAGTGTTTCTGTTCGTGTTGAGGGTATGACGACTGGTATAATCGTGAACAACTCGATGATATAGGGTATGAAGACTCGTATAATCGTGAACAAACTAGATGATAATTGACGCTTGAAAGAGACTCGAGCTTAAATCAGTAATATTATGTATTATGAAATTGGAATGTTTGTGTACGCTGGCTCCACTTCGTTGTTTCAAACAACGGATATATTGATATTTCTAATATTATGATATTTTGGCATTTAGTGAGTTCTAATTGAGCCCGAAGCCATTAGACAGCGGTTTCAAAATACTGATATAGCTTTAACAGTGCTTATGTTGATATGAATAGAACATTCTGTGGAATGTGAGATCTTTAGAACTAAGTTACTATATTCACAACATTGTGTTCAATAATAAGTGATCGTACAAACATTTATTTAATACATACTTATAGCGAAACAAATGTTTTTTTTTCAGAATTTTCAAAACATCCATTAAACCTCTTTGATTTAGATAAAAATGTTGTACTGAACTAAATTGGTCCGATCTCTTATTTCAATTAGTGATGGGTGCAGCACAATTCATATGGGTGTGATTTTTGCCTTACTGTGTCGACAGTGGAACATAAAAGCCATTATATCTCAACACGGGGCTTTATCCACAGATGGTTATATCTATATCACAACACAGGGTTTTATCTAGAGACTTTAAATTTTCAATGAAGACGGGTTGTCATCCTACAATATACACAGAAAATCTAATTAAATCGAAAATTTCATTTTCTATCCAAATCAAAGAGGTTTACATATTGTTTTCATATTATGATATACTATAGAGACGTTAATATATAATATAGAAACGTTTTCATGTTATAGTTTTATAACATAATATAGAGACGTGTTCATATTATGGTTTATAAGATATAAGGCCGTTTTCATGTTATAGTTTATAACAGATAAAACAGAGACGTTTGTATGCTATAACATATGATATAGAGACGTTTTCGTGTTATAGTTTATAACCTATAATATAGAGTCGTTTCCATGTTATAGTTTATAACATATAATACAGAGACGTTTTCATGTTATAGTTCATAACATATGATATAGAGACGTTTTCGTGTTATAGTTTATAACCTATAGTTATAGTTTATAACATATAATATAGAGATGTTTTCATGTTATAGTTCATAAGATATAATATAGAGACGTTTTCATGTTATAGCTTATAACATATAATAGAGACGTTTTCATGTTATAGCTTATAACATATAATATAGAAACATTTTCATCTTATAGTTTATAACATATAATATAGAGTCGTTTCCATGTTATAGTTTGTAACATATAATATAGAGACGTTTGCATATTATGGTTTATAACATATATGTACAGTGGCGGCGCCAGCCGTCGGTGATTGGAGGGGCAAAGCTGGGGCAAAGTACAAGGTTAAGGGTCCAGAGGCACGAGCTACAACTAGGGGTAAGGGGGCTTCCCCAGAAAATTTTGAAAAATAGGTTGCCGGAAATGCAGCCTGGCAGTATTTCAGGCACTGATCGATGAGGTAAAGTGTCAAACGAACGGACTTGCGAATCACGACGAAGCCTACTCACGAGCGTCAAAGTAGGGAGTCCTGCCCCAGAAAATTTTGAAAAATAGACTGTCGGAAATGCTCTACAACATGCAAGTTTATGACTGAGTGGGGATGTGGGATTTATTCACCGTAGAAGGTATGGATTACCGAAACGTATCACAAATATTTTTTTTTATTTTCTAAAATTATTGGGGGGGGGGGGCAAACAGAGGGCAGACCAGATTAATGGGGGCAAATGCCCCCCTTGCCCCCCCCCCTGGCGCCGCCACTGTATATGTATAATATAGGTATGGTAGCTCTGGGCACTCGGACCAACAGGTTTACTCCAGGCCTCATAGCGGCCTCATAGCTTGATTCACCTTTCAGACACCCGACTCATAGACCATTATTCTCTTCGGAATTTGGCCATTATATATTTCAGTGAATTCAAAGATGAATTTTATTTATTTTGATCTGGTCCCTCAGATCCTCTGACTGCCCGAGACCGAGTCCGCCACTGAATATAATAAAGTTTTCATAAAACATACTGGATGTATGATTAACATGTTATTATAAAATATATAAACTATTTTGATGGTGATGTAAATAATATTAATACTATACTTAATACAAAGACAAGGTGATAATTACACGCTTATGGCATATAACAGGCCCACTTATGATAATATTATCTCGATAGTAATACTCAAATATACGCACACAAAATCTTAATAACGACTTTAAATTTAATATTATATTTTGTAATTGCATGGTGTTTACGTCTTCTTTTTAAATGTGGCGCCGTGGCCAAGAGACAAGATAATTTCACACACTGAATTTTACATGATCATCTTTTACCACGCGGTTACTTAAGAAACACAGATCTACATTTCGCTCCATGAACGGTAATTCCCTGCTTCGATTTATATGATGTCTGCGCAAACTCAGACTGCGCAAGTTAGTTTTAATCTGGACATCGTCTACAAGCAAAAAATATTAGAAATGAATGAATGAATGAATGAATGCACACTCAGATTGCGCAAGTTAGTTAATCTGGACGTCGTCTACAAGCAAACAAATATTAGAAATGAATGAATGAATAAATGCGCAGACTCAGATTGCGTAAGTTGGTTAATCTGGACGTTTTCTACAAACAAGAAATATTAGAAATGAATAAATGAATGAATGAATGACAATTAACGTCTTACTTTTCTGCCCCTAATGAGGACGTGTCTACATTTTTCGGTACTTTCCCCTTTTTCACTCGCTCTTGGTTCCAGCACTCTTCGCCATAGTTCTATATGACGTCATTTCTGTTTCCTTAGAGATTATTTTTAAATGTCTTATTTATTACCTTGAAGAAGAAGAGGGTCCATCTTCGAAACGTTAGTCTAATAGTATCTGACGATGAAAACAGTGTTAGTGTCGCTCTTGTTTATTCACTTCCATATATATTAGAAATGTGAAAAGCTTTCAATAAAAAACAAAGTTTTTCAAAAATCATCTACAAGAATCAACCTGTAGTTAGTTTTCAGTTAAACCAGTTTTTATATAATATAAAAACACTAAACTGTTGTAGAAATTGTAAAATAATTATTTCGTTCCGTTTGTGTTATAATTTCTCGTCGTAAATTTGTTTAAATAAACGTTATAGTAATGTTGCTGTATATGACAACAGTCAATGACTTGTATTAAGCCATGAATGTAGATATTGTTTTTGTTTTATCAGATTATTAAATCAGATAAAATAATACCAGTTCTTGTTGTTTTTCTGACCTAGTCAACGTGATTTATAGACATATTTTCTTGAAATGCGTCCAGCTAGATCGATTTTACAAATGCCTTTTCATAAAATTTTACTACAAATCGACGTAAATGAAATGAAAATATGTGTTTTTTATGTCCTAGTTTTCTGCACCAAACGAGCCAATGAAGAAGGGCATACGCCATACAGTGTGCTATGAGGAAATTTTGCGAGGACAGCGGCGCTACGGCCTACTCTTATACCGAATTCCAAATGCCAAGGGTTCCCTACTCGTGAAGGGTTCTTTTACGTGCACACCAACGTGTACACGTGGTTTCGGTTTTTCATACCATTCGAACGACTAGACGATGTTCTTTGTCAGGCCCATTGTCCTGCACCACTGACATGGAAATTTCTCGGCCAAAACCATGAGCTAACCCAGACCTCCCGATTAGCGAGCCATCACCGTGAGCTAACCGAGACCAACGGCTTACCTACCAATCCACCGCGGCACCCACACGGAGACGTAAATATGGGTTGGCATCAAAAACAATGCCATCAACAATATTTGCAACGGTATATGTCCCAGGAGAACTTTGACCATTTGCATGTGCCTTTTACTGGATCATGTATTGCCAATACGTTCATTGTTTTACCATCAAAGGTTAGAGGAAAAAAATATTGATTTATTCTGAAGCTTTCAAGGCGTACACTACCACCATCATAAATATGAACTCTACCGAAAAGCATAAAATATCTTACATTAACATAGTTCTGCTAATATATTCTTTGAGAAAAGTTATTTGAGTTATTTCGACAACATTATTGTATAAATGTCGACTTCAAAAGAATACACAGTAATGAAAGTCAGTGATTATTTAAGAGTTGTTTCCCCCTTGTCATGGAAACCTTCATTTTGAGACCAATATACGTGTAATTTGTTCAATGGTCAATGGGAGAGGCGGTGGGAGGGGTGGTCGAATGTTTAATGCGTGCGCGTTGGGTCAGAAGCTCTGTCATTGAGTCAAGTGGCGTGGTTTCGATTCCCCGCTTGTACGTAACAAGGTGTAGGGTCGCCTGTTTAAACTTGTGGTCCTCCGATTTACTCCCACTGTGCTACCCGGTTGTCGTCCCATCAGCCTTACAAGCGCTACCCAACTTTAAACAAATCTAAATGTTATTTGATAAATTAATTCTCATCTTTTAATTACAAATATGAAATGAAAATGAAATGGGGTTTAATGTCCTATATTTCTGTACCGTGGCGGCTAATGAAGACCGGCATACCCCATACAGACAGTGTGTGCTACGAAGAATTTTTTACCCGAACTCTTCATTCAAAGATTTCCAATGGTCAACGGCCCTGTTACATGCACGTCTATGTATACACGAAGGTTCGGTTTTTCATCCAACCTGTACGACTAGTCTCATTGCCGTGCCAGTCCCTAGTCCTTCACCTCTGACAAGAAGAACACTTGAGAGTTTCCTCGGCCAACAATGGGATCGAACCCGGGCCATGAGGGTTAGATATCCAACGCCTTGCTCACGGAGTCACTAATATTTACGGGAGACACTAATTGTAGGCCGGTTGGAGAGGTTCGGGAATTTCCGATGTCTATATACAATGGTCGCTTTATATAAATAACTATTTTTGGGGATACGCCCCATACGTTCCTGCTAAGCTTTTGTCACGCTTCCCCACACCTGCACGACGCCCATCCACGTTGCCACCACGCTCAACCACGTTGCCACCACACTGACAAGACGCTCCTACCACATCCTTGCTACGCTGGTAGAATGACCTTGGATACTGATCCCCGTCCATCAGTTCCAGTCTTGGAGAGCTAACAAAACAAAAAAAACCCAACATACACCACGACATTGCTACGACCTAAAGAAATCCGCCAGATAGTGTCTGGGAGCGGAATCGACGTGACGATGTCTTTGTGAACGCAGTAAGAGCATGGTTGGGTCATGGTAGGAACGTAGGAAGCGAGTTAGGCCACGATCTCATTCTGCGGATTTAGAATGTGAGAGCTGAGGAGCTTATCGTCAACGTAAGGCCTGTGACAATAAGCGCCACGACCTCAGCACGCGCTCACTACGCCCAGTGCGCTCCAATCAAGTTCTTGGCCATGTTCTATATAGTTTTTGAGCGCGAAAAAGTTAGGAGCGTGGTCAGAGCGTAGCGAAATCTGATTGGTCGCAGAGAGGGTGTGGCGAGATTTTTGTTCCCGTATTAAGAGCGTGACCATGGGCGTTCACCCCGCTCTCGGTACGCTGCCCCAGCTCTCACTCCGCTGTCGCCACACTTTCTTACACCACGACTTCGCTACACTAATATCCCAGTCAGACGGGGTGGCGTCCTTACTGCGACGCTACTGCGACGGAAAATGGTCGCGGAGCACGTCAAGATCGCCATAAGCGCGGTAAAAGCGTGGTGGAAACGCCAGATATCGTGCTGTGGTCTCCATGGTCGTGAATGATCGCCTAATCACCGCGTTTGCTTTAAGCATGTTCATAACAAACGCCAAGGCTCTGCGATCTAACCTGGAAAGTTGTAATGCCCGCGTCAGACCGGGGTGGCGTCCTTACTGCGCTGCAGCGACCGTACGGCGACCAGAAAATGCACAAGGTCACCGGCAAACGTGAACACAACGTACGAAAATGTCCCAATGTTACAACCTTGGCGTTTGTTTTGAATACGCTTTTACCACGCCTATGGCGATCTTCACGCGCTCTGGGGCCATTTTCCGTCGCCGTAGCAGCGCAGTAATTAAGGCACCACCCCGGTCTGACGGGGTCAAGTTTGTAAATTTTTGTAAGTTTTATACAAATGTTTATATTCTTAGGAATAACTAATGATTCCAGATGGAAGAATTTCAAAAATGAAAAGTCTCAGTTGTATAGAAGAGTTGTCACATGTAACTATATAGTTTCTCAAATAAAAGATACCATCCTTAACAAAGATGAACAACTGCGACAGGGAGTCACAGTTGCTCAGTGAGTAATACGCTGTATCAACCAGAACGTCTCGAGTTGGACGAGAAAGTTCCTCGGTATTAGCCGGCATCGTTCTCCCTAAATTCCGAAAGAGATCATCTTTAAACCTCAGATGACCAACTTCGGCAATAACGAATGCAATTTGGTGGTAACGTCTTACTCAAAACATGTATGGGGTTCATGACAGAACTCTTATACACAGGCTGGAATAAGCAGATTTGGATGTCCAGGGCCATAACTTCGCAATTAATCGTTATACGACGCCGACTTTCTTGAGGTTCACTGAACAACACACAACGAGCCTAATACGGCTATATCGCGTGCATCTGTCGTTCCCAAGTGTAGACCCTCTGTAAATGCTTGCGTGCTGTTCATTTATTTCCCACACCTTGGGATAAAGAAAGTGCTTGGATTTGTTTTATTAGGGTTGAAAACAAATATTTCCAGCAATAAGTCCGGGGCGAGTCCCCCTTTCTTCAAAATGCCAATAATTTACGATGTAGGTAGTACAATCTGATTAAAACACAGATCCTATTTCGTTTCGTGTTTATAGTTCAAAATTTCGTTTTACTTGTCTTTACTACACTAGGATCTGGAAGAGTTGTTATCATTGGCGTGATCTGAATGGTTTGAGAGATTAGCCAATGAAACTGTCTGTTACGGTGAGCTTTAGGCGTGTTCTGCACGGAACTGTGGGTAATCCACTAGTAACATCACTGCTGATTGGTTAATCAAAGGTCTGACCTCATAGGGTCAAAAGCCGCTCGTATGACCTCTGACGCGACCTATCACTGCAACCGGTCAGATCTTCATGTAGTGTAGGCCATCGAAAGTATAAAAAACGAAACGAAATATAGATCTGTATTTGAATCAGATTGTAGGTAGTATGATGACTCATTTGAAACGTAACTGGGGTATCATAATCTGAATGTAAATTGTTATGACTTCTTAACAGTTTGGACAAGTTAAACAAATGGAGAGTGAATGGATAATAAAAGTTAAATCTTGTAATTTTAATTTTTTTAACACAAATGTATAACTCTTAGCAAATCTAAACAAAACATACAAAAACTCGTTTGTAGATTATTTATCTTTATAAAAAACCACTGCATATCTCTCTTAACTAGAAAACATTTTATAGGCAGGACGAGTGGTTTATGACTTAAGGGAATATCTTGGGTCTTCATTAATTCTGTGAGAGATAAACCCAGAGGTCATCAACATGTTATCAAGAAGACTGAACGTATTTCTACCATAGTAATGAAGCGGAAAGATACAACTTGTATGCACCCAAACATTCGTTTCTCTATACATATTATTTTTGTAGATGTAAAACCAGATATACATCAGGGTAACAAGTATATTTCTTTTTACTTACATAAACAACGAAATAACACATTTTATGAAAATTCAAACTTACATAGTATGCGACAGTTACGCTGTCTATAACTTGCTCCGCTTGAGCAGAGACACGGAGTTAATTGACCGATATTTTAATTCCTAAATCGACGATTGTAGTCGAAAGTCATAAGTATACTTCGAGAATTGTGTGTGTGAGAGAGAGAGAGAGAGAGAGAGAGAGAGGGGGGTTTAACGTCCACTCGACACAAACTAGGTCATTTCGGAACTAACACATGGATCAATTTATTTCATTAATCCGCATGCGCGTAGTGGTCTTTAGCAGTGGGAGGAAATCGGAGGACCCGGAGAAAACCCACGAGGTTGGACAGGCGACCTTACTCCTTGTCACGTACAACCGGAGAATAGAAACCCCGCTAGTTGAATCAATGACAGACCTTATGATACAGCACGCACGTGCTAACCATTCGGTCAAGTACACCCCCCCCCCCGGAATTTTGAGAAATATTTATTCTGAATCCATCTAATAAAATCAAAAATGTTTATTTAGTTTTGTGTGTATGAAAGATGTAAAACGGATCATAACCACATTACCAATAGTAAAACAATATTTGAATATGGCGGCCATTCAGGACAGAGATCTATTC